GGGGGTGTCCGGCACCAGCAGCCCCGAAACGGCAACTTTTTGGCTCCCCCCAGCCGGTCAGTTACCGGCGTCGGGGCTGTCGGGAACCGCTCGCTGATTGGCTGCCGCCCGCTCATTTATAGCCCGTCAATCAAATACCCCCGGGATTGGTGTGCGCATCGCTCGGCGCTGCCCGCGGGAAGCGCTCCGCACCGCTCCGCAGACGCGGCCGCCGCGCCGCAGCACCAGCAGCGCCAGCAGCCCCCCCGCTTCGGCGAGCGGCGCCTCCGCCCGCCAGGCAGAAAAACTTCCTCCTCCTTCAGCAGCCGCCCAGGCAGGTTTTTCCCCTCTGTTTTTTTTATTTTTTTTTTGTTTTTTTTTTTAACTTCCTCTCCCCGGTCTGGTGCCCGCCTGCCCGCCACCCTGGCGCACCTCTTGCCGGCTCCGGCCATGTACAGCATGCTGGAGACTGAGATCAAGACGCCGCAGCCCACGCCGGGCAGCGCCGGGGGCAACCCCGCTCCGGGCAGCAACGGCAAAGGCGGCGGAGGCGGCGGGGCCGGCAACGGAGCGGGAGCCGGCTCGGACCAGGACCGGGTGAAGCGCCCCATGAACGCCTTCATGGTGTGGTCGCGGGGCCAGCGGCGGAAGATGGCCCAGGAGAACCCCAAGATGCACAACTCGGAGATCAGCAAGCGCCTCGGGGCCGACTGGAAGCTGCTGAGCGACGCCGAGAAGCGGCCCTTCATCGACGAGGCCAAGCGGCTGCGGGCCGTGCACATGAAGGAGTATCCGGATTACAAATACCGGCCCCGAAGGAAGACCAAGACCTTGCTGAAGAAGGACAAATACTCGCTGCCCGGCAATCTGCTGGCCCCAGGGGGGGGCAACGCGGTGAGCAGCCCCGTCGGGGTGGGGCAGAGGATTGACACTTACGCCCACATGAACGGCTGGACCAACGGGGCTTACTCACTGATGCAAGACCAGCTGGGCTACAGCCAGCACCCGGGCATGAACAGCCCCCAGCTGCAGCAGATGCACCGCTACGACATGACGGGCCTGCAGTACAGCCCCATGATGTCCACGGCGCAGACCTACATGAACGCCGCCTCCACCTACAGCATGTCCCCCGCCGCCTACGGCCAGCAGCCCTCCACGGCCATGAGCCTGGGCTCCATGGGCTCGGTGGTGAAATCCGAGCCCAGCTCGCCGCCTCCGGCCATCACTTCCCACTCGCAGAGGGCCTGCCTGGGAGACCTGCGGGATATGATCAGCATGTACCTGCCCCCGGGGGGGGATGCCACAGACCCTTCCGCCCTGCAGGGCAGCAGGTTACACAGCGTCCACCAGCACTACCAGAGTGCCGGGACTGGCGTGAATGGTACCGTACCACTAACTCACATATAAACTTGGCTGCTCCGGACGGCTCCCCGTCTTAATCCCTAACCCCACCACCGCTCCCTGACTCCACCGGGACGTGCGGCAGTGTTGCTCGGCTTAGCAGACTTAATACTAACTTTGGAGAAATTTTAAAAAGGAAATCCGTTAGTTGTGTCCTTTTTTTTTTTTTTGTAAAAAAAAAAAAAATTTGAGCAAGCTGTTATTTTAATAGAGCACAACTCCTGCCTCCTAGAAGCTGCTGTGAAGTTTTCAAACCACGGCAACTTCTTTCCTGGTTTCTGCTAGGTTGGGCACTGTTTTGTTCGCTTAAAAGTTTTTAAAAGACCTTGCATCTTCCAGTTTGATTTCTAGTGTTGCAATGACATAAAAAAAAAAAAAAAACCGGCGGGCTTTTGTTTTTAAACTCGGTTGTTCACATTATCGTTGTGGTTTCTTAAGTGTTTTGTTCTTCCCACCTTACCGAGCCTCGCTTGGTTTCTATCCACAATCTGTAGCTTTGACGACTTTTTAACTTTAGGGTTTTGTTCTTTAAAAAAGGGGGAGGTGGGAGAGAGCTGTGCGGGTCGCAAACGCATTTCTTTTATTTATAGTAAGTTGTGTGTCTTGGTTTTTCTTAAGCTGTAAACTTATGTAAATTGATTTGTGAATTTTACTGTGAACCATGTTTTGACATATCAGATGAAGAAACGTTTTAGTTTTGTTTACCGGATTTCTTCCAAAAAAAAAAAAAGTCATCGAAATACTCCTTCCCTCTCCCTGTCCCTAGTCCTCGTTTGCTTCCTTCTTCCAGACGAAGAGAGATCAATAAATTTTATATCGGGCACGTCGGCAGTCTCCGGGCGGTTTGTGCGGGGGCGGGCGCGCAGCCGGTGCCTCGGCGGCGGCGGGAGCCCGGAGCGGGGGCAGCGCGGTCCCGCCCGGGGCTCCCCGCAACAGCCGCGGTCACCCCGCCCGGCCCAGGAGCCCGGGGGCCGCCATCCCGTTTCGGCCGGGTTTCTGCGCCTGCCGCGCTGTGGTGTATTTTGGGGGGGTGGGGAGGAGTGCCCCTTCGAGTTGATTTTCTTCTAGAGAAAAGCGGGACCTGGGCCGGGAAAGCGTCTCTGTGCTACTGAAGCTGCTGCTGCTCTCCGAGCCGCCCGCCACTTGTTGCCTCTCTGCCCGGCTGGTTTCCCTCGGTCGACGGGGAGGGAAAGGGGTTACACGTGTGTGCCTCCGCTGTTTTTTTTGTTTTGGTTTGTTTTTTTTTTCCTGGAGGATTTGCCTAGAAACCTGAGCTCATCTGAAATATTTACAAAAGTAAAACCCGTTGGGGAACTCTTGATTAGACTCTATTAAAAATGAATGGTTACAGGAGTCCCCAGAGGAAATAAATAATTCAATCTTTTCAGTACGTTTGACGAGTGTGTTTTTAGTCTGGACAACTTTTCTTTGCCTTTTTTTTGTTCTTGTTCTCTTTTTTTAGGCGTCTGCGTTATTCCTGGCTGTAGTTCTGTGGGCGCCGCCGAACAGCCCCGAGCTGCAGCCCCCCGCGGAGCCCCGGGACCGCCGGCCGAGCGGGAGACCGCTTATCCCTCCTTCTGCTCGGCGACAAAAGCCGCGTTGCCGGCCGACCCCCCAAGCGTGCCCTCGGCTCCTGCCGGCTCCGCGGGCCGGGCTCCGAGCTCGCCGAGGCGGGCGGCCGCTCGGCGGCCCGAGCACCCTCGCAGGCGGTCAGTGCGTTTCGCGGCGCGGCCCCCCTCGAGGCTCTGCCTCCCGTTTGCTTCCACTACCCCTTTCGCCGTTTGTCTTCCTTCGGAAGGAGAGGGAACGGGAGGGTGCTTTTGTCGTTGGCTTTGGTTAAAGGGGCCCGCTCCGCTCGCCCCTTAGGAGCGGCGGCTTCAGGGGGACCCCGCGCCCCTCCGCTGCCCGCCTGCGGCGCCCGGGACCTGCCGGGGGCGGGGGGAGCCGCTTTCCCTTCCCCGCTGCTTCCCGCCGGCCGGGCCGGCCCCCCCCGCGCTGCCTCCCGGGCCGGCAGCAGGGATGGCCCGGCAGCCGCGCCGGCCTTGCGGAGGCTCCGCCGGGCAGCACGTCCAGCTTCGGGCCGGGCCTTCCCGCGGCTCTTCCGAGAGGAAAAGCGACGCTCTGCAAACCGCACCGAGAGCCGCCTTCTGTGGTGCGGGGTGCCTGGCTCCTGGCCGCCCGGGGAAGGGGGAGAGCCGGGGGGGCAGCTGCTGCAGGTCCTCGACCCGGGGAGAGACCCCGGGCCAGGCACGCTGCCCTCTGCCCGGGCAAGCCCCTGGGGTCGCCCACCCTCTGGTCCCTGTCATAAGCCCCTGGCACCGCACACGCTCCCCTCTGCTCAGGAACAGCCGTGCCAGAACTGGGGGTAATCACTTTGCAAATGAGAATACCCTCAGCTCGGCTCCCTCCATAACGTTTCTGGTGAAATCTGGCAAACCTGCGGCAGAAAGAACTGCTTTCTCCAGTTGGCGCTGCTACCTTTTGGGTAGGAGTGTGCCTGTTACTAGCTCTGTGAGGAGAAGCAGCCCCATAACCCGGAGTTCTGAGAGAGGGTGATGAGATCAGTGGTGTTGGTACGGTACATGGAGATACGCGTGGGGGGCAGCGGCAGGTCCCCTTCCACGTCAGCTGGGGGTCAAGCTGCTCCCCAGTGCTCTCCAGAACAGGCAGTGCCAGGAGAGCCTGGGAGGGGAAGCGCGATGATCCTCTTCCCTGAAATCGGTCTCCCTCAGCCTTCCCTGACAGGCCTGAGAGGCAAGTCTGACAAAAGTGAGGGCTCCTGAGCAGGTGAGCTGCTGCCAGCACTGGAATTGTATTTGCTATCCTCAGAGCCGAATTGCAGCTACATTGTTATAAGTAGTTGTTCCCTTCGTTTTGAGTTCTCTGGAAGTGGATCCTCTGCCATGAAAAGGGAAAAACACTGTTCTTCAAAGGTTTGCAGTATTTTTAAGTTCAAGTTATCTTCCTCGTCTGCTGTAAGTCAGGGCCTAAGGAGAGTTTGTGAGCAAGTCCCTGAGGGCTCACAGAGAGATGCCTCTATAAACTACCTTGTTCTTGCTGAAAGCTCATCACAGTGGTTTGGCTTGTGGATGCTTTTCCTGAGCTATTGATTTTCAGATGCCCAGACAAAATCCTCCACAGTTTTCAGCTTCCTGGGGCTGAACTTTATCCTGAAGTTCCTAAGTTGTGGGGCAGAGCATGGGGAAAGGGTTGTAAACAGGCACACACCACTGGATGGGGGAGAGACCCATTGCAAGTCAGAAGCAATGGACCCAGCCTTGTACATAAGTGTAAGTACAGATACAGCCTCTTCTTTCCTGAACATGAGTGTATTTTCCATCACAGAGCCGACAGCATAGAGGAAGACATTGCCTGAAAGACAACTTTTTTTCAAAGAGCACTGTTACATCCTTTGCTTGGACTCAAGAAATTTGCCTTGAGAACAAAGGCAGAAACATGTTCTCTTTAGAATTAATGAAGGTATGTTTTATTTGTACCGAGCTTCGTTTTTTAAATTTTCAGTTTATTCTGGACATAGACATACATCCTGCATGCATTAAATCTAAATGCCTTTTGAGCAATGCCCATGTGGGATTTCATACTCCTGCTTTTGTGGGAGGGATCAGAATCGAGCCATTAACATTCTCGGGGAGAGCAGGTGAAGTTACAAATAGTTATGTACGAGACATGTTGGCTCTGTGGAAGATGCGTCTGCACAGGATCCTTTGCTCCAGAAATCCACAGCACTTTGCAGGATAGGACTGTAAGTGAAATGCTAAATTGTTGTATGTGCAAAATCATTAGCAACTCTTTGCACAGTTAAAAAAACTACAGCCTTATTCAGAACACCTAGAATAGATCGAGTGCATCCATTATCCTTAGAAAGACTGAACATTGGCTGTGGAGAGGTTAATAATGTTAGCATTTAAGTGTAATGACAATATTTAGGCTTTTGCGTTAACACTTTTTTGAATGGAAGAGTGGAAGATCACACTTGATGCGACTGTTAGTCTGTCAAAAAACAGCGTATTGGGTTACACTTTCATGGTTCTTTCCTATGCTAAAGAGCTGCAGGGTTAATTTATTTCAACAAAAATTGGTAAGTGAAAATATTTTAAATTAAAATTTTGAGGCTGTCTGGTTGGGGAGTAAATTCTAATACTTAGCAGAGGAATCTGATTGTGAGTATTTTAAGAATATTTTTTAAACCATACATTTTTGTATTTCTGTTCTTTTTTGTGCTATAAGAGGAGATGAATACTAAATTCAGTAAAAGGCATATGATTAGCATAAACACTTTATGAAAGCATTTATAAATCAGTGCTTGACCCTATCAAACATGAGACTAAGAAAAATACTTTTCAGGAAAATTAGAAAGATAGGGACTTGTCTATCTTCTGATGTTAATGGAAAGAATTATTTCATAGGAATGAATACAGCAGAGGAGGTGAAATTAGGTGATGTTCAGGACTGCAATGTTGCTCCTGTTCCCAATGCCTGCAAAAGTGAGAAGTTTGATATGGCTTCTTTTCTACTGGTATAGACCTTGATTCTACATTTGTTGTAGTCAAGTCCAGTTAATTTACATGGCGCAGATTCAGATTACTTCTATGGTAAACCTGGAGTGACAAAACACAGAAATCTTATAGAGAAAGAGATAAAATTTGAATCCATTTCTTTTAAGATTTCTCAAAGAAGGAGTGGAGAGCTATCATTGCAGATCTGTTTGCATGGGGCAATTTAGTGGTTAATGCAGATTAAGTTTTCCAGAATAGTTTCCCATATGCTTCTCTATCATGACTTTCTACTGATGCCACTGGATGCAATAATAATTGCAACACAGTGACTTATTTCTCAACAGAATGTCCTCAGGATATGGAATTCATTATTCTTTTCTGTGAATACCATTCACAGCCAACTTCTTTGTGTTGCTAGTCAAGTAAACAGGATTTCAGATTTGCCTCCTCCAAAGACATCCTCAGAAGCTCTTTATCCATTTTATATGTTAGTTTTCCAGTTTCTGAAATGCGATCGATACCTACTTAGTGCAGCAGGGGAGGTTGCAATGCATGTGAGCAAGCGTGTGTGTGTGTGAGAGAAAGCAAGAAAATGGGGGGGGGGGGTGTCACAGTAAATCCAGAGAGATGTATTTATACCTCCTCTGTGACTAAAAAAAAAAAAAAGTATGTACCACTTAAATGTTATTTAAGTCAGCTTTAGGCTCAGGATGCTCATCTTTATTGTTGTTGCTAAGTTCAATTATACCATATTTATGCCAGGTTACTTTTATTCAGCAATACATCAAATTAAGCTAAATCAATCTGAGCATGATTTGGCCTGGTTTAAAAATGTTTGTGCTGATGTAACTGAAGTCCCCGATTCATGTCCACATGAGGAAGCAGTTGTGGGGTTTTAGCACATTACTGCCCCAGAGCTGTTTG